ACTGGTGGGACGCGAACAAGGGGACACAGGTGGAAACTGAGTACTCACATGAGCCACAGAGACGTTAGAAGGAACTTTTTTAGTGTCAGAGTAGTTAACGGATGGAATGCATTAGGCAGTGATGTGGTGGAGGCTGACTCCATACACAGTTTTAAATGTAGATATGATAGAGCCCAGTAGGCTCAGGAATCTGTACACCAGTTGATTGACAGTTGAGAGGCGGGACCAAAGAGCCAAAGCTCAACCCCCGCAAGCACAAATAGGTGAGTACACACACACACACACACACACACACACACACACACGCACACACGCACACACACGCACACACGCACACACACGCACACACGCGCACGCACACACACACACACACTCACTGTGGGCTCACACACAACTTTAGCTCGAGGTGTCCTTGGAAGAGAGTTTACAGGTGAGGGTTCATAAGTTTGGCTGATGGGGAGGTGTGAGGGTATGGCACCCGCCTCATACATGACGCCAGGTGCCAACAAGGAGTAAAACTCTGGCACCGGCAGCGGCTAGACACCCTCGGTGCCAGATGCCACCTCCCCTCCTCGGTGCCAGATGCCCCCCCCCCGCCCCCCCTCGGTGCCAGATGCCACACCCCCGCCCCCCTCGGTGCCAGATGCCGTACCCCGCCCCCCCCCTCGGTGCCAGATGCCGCCCCCCGCCCCCCTCGGTGCCAGATGCCACACCCCCGCCCCCCTCGGTGCCAGTTGCCACACCCCCGCCCCCCCCTTGGTGCCTGATGCCGCTCCCCGCCCCCTCGGTGCCAGATGCCACCTCCCTTCCTCGGTGCCAGATGCCGCACCTCCGCCCACCCCCTCGGTGCCAGATGCCACACCCCCGCCCCCCTCGGTGCCAGATGCCGCACCTCCGCCCACCCCCTCGGTGCCAGATGAAACACCCCCGCTACCCCTCGGTGCCAGATGCCACACCCCCGCCCCCCCCCCCCTCGGTGCCAGATGAAACACCCCGCCCCCCCTCGGTGCCAGATGCCACACCCCCACCCCCCCCTCGGTGCCAGATGAAACACCCCCGCCCCCCCTCGGTGCCAGATGCCACACCCCCCCCCCTCTCGGTGCCAGATGAAACACCCCCCCCCCCCCCCCCTCGGTGCCAGATGCCACACCCCCGCCCCCCCTCCTCGGTGCCAGATGCCACACCCCCGCCCCCCCTCGGTGCCAGATGCCACACCCCCGGCGCCCCCCTCGGTGCCAGATGCCACACCCCGGCCCCCCCCCCTCGGTGCCAGATGCCACACCCCCGCCCCCCCCCCCTCGGTGCCACATAATAGCACACATACTCAATAAGAGCCACACTGATGGGTGAGTGAGAGGCAGTGAGTCTTGGATAGTTGTCTCCAACCGTGCCACACCCTGGCCCACCACCCACCACACCCTGGCCCACCACCCACCACACCCTGGTCCACCACCCACCACACCCTGGTCCACCACCCGCCACACCCTGGCCCACCACCCGCCACACCCTGGCCCACCACCCGCCACACCCTGGCCCACCACCCGCCACACCCTGGCCCACCACCCGCCACACCCTGGCCCACCACCCGCCACACCCTGGTCCACCACCCGCCACACCCTGGTCCACCACCCGCCACACCCTGGCCCACCACCCGCCACACCCAGGCCCACCACCCGCCACACCCTGGCCCACCACCCGCCAAACCCTGGCCCACCACCCGCCACACCCTGGCCCACCACCCGCCACACCCTGGCCCACCACCCACCACACCCTGGTCCACCACCCACCACACCCTGGCCCACCACCCCCACACCCTGGCCCACCACCCACCACACCCTGGCCCACCACCCACCACACCCTGGCCCACCACCCACCACACCCTGGCCCACCACCCCCACACCCTGGCCCACCACCCACCACACCCTGGCCCACCACCCACCACACCCTGGCCCACCACCCACCACACCCTGGCCCACCACCCACCACACCCTGGCCCTCCACCCACCACACCCTGGCCCACCACCCACCACACCCTGGCCCACCACCCACCACACCCTGGCCCACCCCACCCGCCACACCCTGGCCCACCACCCGCCACACCCTGGCCCACCACCCACCACACCCTGGTCCACCACCCACCACACCCTGGCCCACCACCCCCACACCCTGGCCACCACCCACCACACCCTGGCCCACCACCCACCACACCCTGGCCCACCACCCACCCCCACACCCTGGCCCACCACCCACCACACCCTGGCCCACCACCCACCACACCCTGGCCCACCACCCACACACACCCTGGCCCACCACCCACCACACCCTGGCCCCCACCACCACACCCTGGCCCACCACCACCACACCCTGGCCCACCACCCACCACACCCTGGCCCACCACCCACCACACCCTGGCCCACCACCCACCACACCCTAGCCCTCCACCCACCACACCCTGGCCCACCACCCACCACACCCTGGCCCTCCACCCACCACACCCTGGCCCACCACCCACCACACCCTGGTCCACCACCCACCACACCCTGGTCCACCACCCGCCACACCCTGGTCCACCACCCGCCACACCCTGGCCCACCACCCGCCACACCCTGGTCCACCACCCGCCACACCCTGGCCCACCACCCGCCACACCCTGGCCCACCACCCCCCACACCCTGGCCCACCACCCGCCACACCCTGGCCCACCACCCGCCACACCCTGGCCCACCACCCGCCACACCCTGGTCCACCACCCGCCACACCCTGGTCCACCACCCGCCACACCCAGGCCCACCACCCGCCACACCCTGGCCCACCACCCGCCAAACCCTGGCCCACCACCCGCCACACCCTGGCCCACCACCCGCCACACCCTGGCCCACCACCCACCACACCCTGGTCCACCACCCACCACACCCTGGCCCACCACCCCCACACCCTGGCCCACCACCCACCACACCCTGGCCCACCACCCACCACACCCTGGCCCACCACCCACCACACCCTGGCCCACCACCCCCCACACCCTGGCCCACCACCCACCACACCCTGGCCCTCCACCCACCACACCCTGGCCCACCACCCACCACACCCTGGCCCACCACCCACCACACCCTGGCCCACCACCCACCACACCCTGGCCCACCACCCACCACACCCTAGCCCTCCACCCACCACACCCTGGCCCACCACCCACCACACCCTGGCCCTCCACCCACCACACCCTGGCCCACCACCCACCACACCCTGGTCCACCACCCACCACACCCTGGTCCACCACCCACCACACCCTGGTCCACCACCCACCACACCATGGCCCACCACCCACCACACCCTGGCCCACCACCCACCACACCCTGGCCCACCACCCACCACACCCTGGCCCTCCACCCACCACACCCTGGCCCACCACCCACCACACCCTGGCCCTCCACCCACCACACCCTGGCCCTCCACCCACCACACCCTGGCCCACCACCCACCACACCCTGGCCCACCACCCACCACACCCTGGCCCTCCACCCACCAAACCCTGGCCCACCACCCACCCCACCCTGGCCCTCCACCCACCACACCCTGGCCCACCACCCCCCACACCCTGGTCCACCACCCACCACACCCTGGCCCACCACCCGCCACACCCTGGCCCACCACCCGCCACACCCTGGCCCACCACCCGCCACACCCTGGCCCACCACCCGCCAAACCCTGGCCCACCACCCGCCACACCCTGGCCCACCACCCACCACACCCTGGCCCACCACCCACCACACCCTGGCCCACCACCTACCACACCCTGGCCCACCACCCACCACACCCTGGCCCTCCACCCACCACACTCTGGCCCACCACCCACCACACCCTGGCCCACCACCCGCCACACCCTGGCCCACCACCCACCACACCTTGGCCCACCACACCCTGGCCCACCACACCCTGGCCCACCACCCACCACACCCTGGCCCACCACCCACCACACCCTGGCCCACCACCCACCACACCCTGGCCCACCACCCGCCACATCCTGGCCCACCACCCACCAAACCCTGGCCCACCACCCACCACACCCTGGCCCACCACCCAACACACCCAGGCCCACCACCCACCACACCCTGGCCCTCCACCCACCACACCCTGGCCCACCACCCACCACACCCTGGCCCTCCACCCACCACACCCTGGCCCACCACCCACCACACCCTGGACCACCACCCACCACACATTGGCCCTCCACCCACCACACCCTGGCCCACCACCCACCACACCCTGGCCCACCACCCACCACACCCTGGCCCACCACCCACCACACCATGGCCCACCACACCCTGGCCCACCACCCTCTACACCGGGTGTGGTGGGTGTGCACTAGGTCAACTAGAGTGTACTAGTGCAGGCTGATAGACCACATTAACTAGAGTGTGCTAGTGCAGGCTGGTAGACCACACTAACTAGAGTGTGCTAGTGCAGGCTGGTAGACCACACTAACTAGAGTGTACTAGTGCAGGCTGGTAGACCACACTAACTAGAGTGTGCTAGTGCAGGCTGGTAGACCACACTAACTAGAGTGTGCTAGTGCAGGCTGGTAGACCACACTAACTAGAGTGTGCTAGTGCAGGCTGGTAGACTAGACTCTAGAGTGTACTAGTGCAGGCTGGTAGACCACACTAACTAGAGTGTGCTAGTGCAGGCTGGTAGACCACACTAACTAGAGTGTGCTAGTGCAGGCTGGTAGACCACACTAACTAGAGTGTACTAGTGCAGGCTGGTAGACCACACTAACTAGAGTGTGCTAGTGCAGGCTGATAGATCATCCTGGTATCTCATGTTCTCTCCTGACTCCATATATGACTCCATATATGACTCCATATATGACTCCATATATGACTCCATATATGGCTCCATTTATGGCTCCATTTATGGCTCCATATATGACTCCATATATGACTCCATATATGACTCCATATATGACTCCATATATGACTCCATATATGACTCCATATAAGACTCCATATATGGCTCCATTTATGGCTCCATATATGACTCCATATATGACTCCATATATGACTCCATATATGACTCCATATATGACTCCATATATGGCTCCATTTATGGCTCCATTTATGGCTCCATATATGGCTCCATATGTGACTCCATATATGACTCCATATATGGCTCCATATATGACTCCATATATGACTCCATATATGACTCCATATATGACTCCATATATGACTCCATATATGACTCCATATATGACTCCATATATGACTCCATATATGACTCCATATATGACTCCATATATGACTCCATATATGGCTCCGTATATGGTTCCATATATGACTCCATATATAGTTCCATATATGACTCCATATATAGTTCCATATATGACTCCATATATAGTTCCATATATGACTCCATATATGGTTCCATATATGGTTCCATATATGGTTCCATATATGGTTCCATATATGACTCCATATATGGTTCCATATATGACTCCATATATGGTTCCATATATGACTCCATATATGGTTCCATATATGGTTCCATATATGGTTCCATATATGGTTCCATATATGACTCCATATATGGTTCCATATATGACTCCATATATGGTTCCATATATGACTCCATATATGGTTCCATATATGACTCCATATATGGTTCCATATATGACTCCATATATGGTTCCATATATGACTCCATTTATGGTTCCATATATGACTCCATTTATGGTTCCATATATGACTCCATATATGGTTCCATATATGACTCCATTTATGGTTCCGTATATGACTCCATATATGGCTTACCGTCCTGTGAGATGAGAATATTAGTTGAACTTATAGCTAGTATTTGATGTAGACTGTGTAATCTCTCATTAAGAATATGTTAGTCGCACATTGTTGTCTCTACCTAAGCTCGGTATTAAAACAAAGTTAAGCCTTGAATTGTCAAAACTATAAAATACATTATTTAAAAACAACTTCATATATTAGAAATATTAAATATTTACTTTTTAATTAATAAATTAATTTATTTAATCACTAACTTTATTTGTAAATGGTTGTCCTTCTATAAGTGGCCTGCCTTACACAGTTAACTTACTAAATATAATAATTATACATTACATAATTGCGATGCTCATATGATGATATTGAATTAAAAAAAACTGCAAACAGGTGCAATAGTTACAATCCTAATTACGTTAATATATTTAGTTACAAAGCACAGGAGACAGTTTATAGTAAGTTACCTGTCCTACTGATGTATTTACCCGAGGGCCACTAACACGCTTGTGGCCTCGATGGAGACAGGAGGCCGGCGGATTGTCAAAGGTCCCCCGATTGGTCCAGATGATTTTGTTTTCAAGCTTGATTTTAAATTTCAACAGAGTTTTGGCTCTTTGGGCTTGGGCGGGTAGGCTGTTCCAAGGGTTTATAACCCTGTGGGTGATAAATCATATCCTGTTCTCAGTCCTACATTGTGCCTTGTTGAGCTTCCTCCGTATTGTGAAGCCCTTGTTTTGTTTTTTTAGAAAGGTCAAAATAAACTAAATGCTTGAAATTGCAAACATTTTTACCCCAAATAAGGACAATTATTGAGATACATGAACTTAGAAAGATGAGTTGTCTATTAATTAATATAACAGTTATTGAATACTGTTAAGAACCCACCTGAGAGTATTCTCACTATAGCCATTATTCTTGAGGTGAAACGAACAGCATTGGACAACCTGTTTAGTTAAGTAAATCAAATGATTACAGGTAAGTATTGACCTCATTAAGGTAATTACTTCAGCATATAAGTACAGGCAGAGGCGAGGTTGGGTAAGAATTTATTATATATTATTTAATATTTTGCACATATTATATGTGTAAGTGATTTGTCAGTGTAAACAGTGTATGAATAGAGCTCATGTTAAAATGAATTATGGAAAACTTATTCTGATTCAAAGTCATTGGCTTAGTTTTCAATATTTCTTTTGCAATTAATATTTTAATATGTAGGCCTCTAATTACTAAAATACCTTACAACTTTATTTACGGATAAACTATTTCTATTAAAAAAAATTGTGTTGGAAAAACACATTGACTATTGGCTTCTGTTAGTTCAAATATACATTAATATTGACTTATTAAATATTTATATAGTAGCTTGTTATTGTAATTTGTATTTGTCTTTCCGTAAAACACATATGTAATACACGTTATGCACTACATATATCGCAGGCACACGTCTGTATTGTACTTTGAGTTCCTCTGTTGTGCAAAGGTTATGTAGCCGAGAAAAACGTAACTTATTTACGGTTTTTGTAACGCTACGAATGATTTGGAGCTGTCGCAGTATGAGACGGTGTTCTGGGAAGGATCGGCGGCCGTAAATACCTTCCTGAATCGCAACGGAAGCGCAAAGACGGCGATAAGAACAAAAATGTTTATAATATCTTGCGTAAATGTTTCTTGAATCCGGCCCCAGTGATCTTGTCTCATGAACGCGCTAGTCCAGGTTTTAAGAGATGTCTCCATTTTCTTTGGTGTTCAGCGCATACTCAACTATTTCATTATATTTACACTTGTCAGCCCGTCCTCATGAACAAAGTCCATTCCATACACCCGCCAAACCCCATGTTTTGAATGAAAAACGGTTTACACACGACTCGCAACTTATTTCATTCAAACACTTCCGCAATAAGTTCTTCACTGACGAATTTTGTTCGAACCACAACGCTATAAATGCTCCACCCACGTACTACAAATACAAATAATCGCCAGGGGCCGGATTCAGGAAGGTACTTACGAAGGTTTTTCCTCTTAGCTAAGAGCGTTTTCCGTCTTAGCGCCTTCGTGGCGGCTACGTCCGTATTCAATTAACTACCCTAAGTGGAAAAATCTTCGTAAGTTCATTCCGGGATTTAAGTGTGGTTTCGACCACTCGTAGCTTTACGTAAACTGGATATAAGTCATTTTTTCTCTACTACATAACACTGGGATCGATTTATGATATTGGAACATGACCAAAATATTATAGCTGGTGAATCTAGTGAAGAGTAATCCTTCGTGTTAGTTATATATGCATTCTCTGCTTGAAACTTGAAGTAAATATGTGTTTGATGATAGTAGAATTAGTTTTATAATAGCAAGATATTATACCAGTAGTTATTAAGTAAATAAACACTGGTGAACATGAAATATGAGAGAAGGTGATGAGCCCTGCCTGATGGGATCATTTACTATCACCAAATGCCCCTGTTCTCCTTGTAGTAAGGGTGTACCTTAGCTATACATACCCATTTCTAATTTATTTAGTTTGGTTTTATTTTGAAATTAAATCTGGGCGAGACATAAAATAAAAATATGCTGCACAAATGATGTTAGGTAAGGAAAAGGGTAAAAATGTCAAAAACTTTATTCATTGAATACTTAAAGCTATAATTATGACTATATAGACTACTAAAAAAGAGAGAGGGAAGTAGGGGTCCAAGACCTCTTCCTGTTATACAATTTGGATGTGGAACAAGTAATTATCAAAAGAAGGCACCATGCCGGGAAGGCTATGTAGCAGTAAGGCAGTGAGGTGAGGCAGCTACTTATTTGAGAAATGCTTATTTTATTTACCTTATAAGCTGAGGCAACTTATTTTATTTGAGGAATACTCAGCTGATTCCTCTACATTTAGCATGGAACAAATTTGTGTCCAAGACCTCTTCCTGTTACTCAATTTGGCTGTGTGTAACCAAACTAGAAGTGCTCTACAAATCAAGGGACCCAGAATGTGGAATGACCTTCCGAATCATGTCAAAGGCTGTACCTCTCTCAACCAGTTTAAGAGTTAAACCAAGTACTGCCTAATTAACTCCATGTAACCTAACTTACCTCCTAAATGTCAACCCATGTCTTGCTATTTTTTAAACAACGCTGTTCACCAACATGTGCAATTGCTGATTTATGCTATGTTAACCCCCTTTTTGTATTTTTTATTCCTTCTTTCAACACAATTTATACCTAATCTCGATTGCTATTAAGTTTTAGTCTGTTTTTTTCCCCCCACACCTTGCCCGAAATGCTATGAGTATTAGTGGCTTTAGGTATTGTATGTACTAGCTCTGCCTATAAATCCAACATTATGTTTGTAAATCAACTGTATGTACTTTTCCTGAATAAAATGTATTTATTATTTATTTTTTAATCAGTAAGTATTAAAATAAGGCACCAAGCTGGGAAGGCTATGTAGCACCATTGTGTGTAACAATAAACCAAATTTTTTTTAACAAATAATGCACCTGTATGGGAAAACAAATCCTGTCAGCTGTAAAAATATTGATGCAGTTATTTAAATGAAAAATATAATGAAAGAAATATTACTGGTTTATTTTTATCCTATCTTTTTGTACTGTACAGTATATCCAAGGAAGTGAAAATTAAGACATAATGCACAATTTAATGAATGATTAGCATGGATTAGCAGTTCAAAAGAAATATGACTTGTATTACATATCAACATGAGATCTTAATGATCCATGGTCAACATGATTTAATATGGATAATACAGTACTGTATTTGTAATAATACAAACTATAATTTAAAATCTTTATTACTGATTTTTTTATTAAGAAGATTAGGTATACACAGCAATGTGCTGCTACCCTAGTCTATATGGAATATTACACAGTGTAGATAAAAAACTAGCTATAAGTTTATCTAATACTCCCATCTCACAGGATGGTTAGACATACTGTCTAACCATCCTCCGATAAACTAGCTATAAGTTTATCTAATACTCCCATCTCACAGGATGGTTAGACATACTGTACATGGAATCAATTTAGAAAATACCAGCCTCAATACAAAAAACAAATCAACTCTGACTAAACAACTCTAAGCAATTTTCACAAGAGGTAAGCACTGAATCATGGAAACATTATATTATAATTACTCTTACCAGTTTCTACAAAACTCCTCTCAAACAATGTATTTTTAAACATGTTTAGGTATACATAGCAATGTGCTGCTTTCCTATTCTGTATAAAGGACCACACAGTGTAGATCAAAAACCAGCTACAAGCTCACCCAACATCCTCACCTCACAGGATGGCCAGTCATACATGGAATTAGGAGAGAACAAAATACTTAATGCTGATTTATTAGCCTCCACTGGCAAAATCTGGGTGCAGCACATGAATATCTTCCAATATTCCTGAGTGTATGAAGTAATTACAGAGCTCAAAGTACCTCATACCATTTGGTATGAAGTCACTGATAACAGGACAATCACAGATATAGTGTTGGAGAGTATGTTCTCTCAAGTAGGACTGAAAACAGATGTTTTTTTTTTTCCACCAAGAGGGCTATAAACCCATGGAACCGCCTACCCGCTGAAACCGTAAATGCCAAATTCCAGCTAAAAAATAACATTAATTCAATTGGCGGGCCCTTTAACAAGCCGCCGGCTTTCTGTCCTCTTCGAGGTCACTAGATAGTTAGTGGCCATTGGGTAAATTCAGTAAATATATACAATAATTGTCAGCGCATCTTCCGAGCAACAAGGACAGCTACACAGTATCTCTTAGAATTACGTAGGTAAACAACAAATGTAACATATTTGTTTACTACAATGTCGGTGCTGCTGTAGAAGTTGAAAAAACATTGTTTTACTTCGAAATATACTAATTTTATAAGAAAATTCGACGTAAATAGGAGGCAGTAGAGCTCCTATAAGCCAGCGCTAAATCTTCAATATGAAGAATGTTGCTGCTCTCTGATTGGCCAAACGAAACACAGTAGTGACCTCTATCGGCACGCAGGTGAACCAACAATTTTCTTCCTAAGTATACCTTATTGAATCGCACCTA